CAAACTGCAAAACGAAATCCAGAGACCATTATCCATGACAACCACACAAACCAACATGCGAGTGTAGGAAAAGTACCAGGACTCCAGATTAATAGAACAGGAATCAAAATTCACTTGAATAACAGAATAAACAAAACACAACAGCAATTCAATTCAATTTCTTTCTTTATTATGCACCCCATACCCATCCCGTGGGCGGTGGTGTAAAGGATTACAGAGGATGCACATAATCGGTTCAGGAACTCACAACAGCCTTAGGCAAACTGAGAACATTCCGTAACCTTGGGAGGAACACCCAGCCACACTCCCACGTGCCGGCTGCGTCTGGAACATCCTCCAGTACCTCTACACACCTTAAGAAAAATTACCATGCAAAAAAAAACTACAAGAAGTGCAAAACACGGCGCTAAGAAGAGCAGCAAAACATCGTGTTTGAATGTGCAACTGAGCTAAGCATTCCACTCCAATTAATATTCCAGACATCCTTGTGCACAGGAATCTGAGCAGATATATGGAAAAGGGGCAAACATAGTACCAATTTATGAAAATAGTAGTCGAGAGGAACCTCTAAATTGTAGATGCGTATCATTAACAAGCGTGGTAGTCAAAACACTAGAAACAATAGTTAAAGCCAAATGGGTTGAACACCTAGAGAGAAAAGACATAATAACGGATAGACACTATATTTTTCGAACAGGAAGATCCTGTGTAACACATCAACTTAGTTTTTATGATAGAGCCACAGAGATACGACAGGAAAGAGGTGGTTGGGTTGACTGTCTATCTGGACCTAAAAAAAATGTTTTTTTTTTTTTAAAGAATCCCGCACAAGAAGCTGTTCTGGAAACTGGAACATGCTGGAGGAGTGACAGGGAGACTTCTGACATGGATGAAAATTTTTTCTAACTGACCGACAGATGAGGGCGGTAATCAGAGACAATGTATCTGATTGGAGGAGTGTTACTAGCGGAGTACCACAGGGTTCAGTTCTTGCACCAGTAATGTTCATAGTCTACATAAACCATCCACCAGAAGGAGTACAGAATTATTGGAACATGTTTGCGGATGATGGATTTCCTTACTCCCTACCAAAGAAAACTGTGTAGTCTGTCAGTCGCAGGTGTGAGTGGGAGGGAGGCCTGGGTGTCGCAGGTGTGGGTGGGAGGGAGGGAGGCCTTGGGGTCGCAGGTGTGGGTGGGTGGGAGGGAGGCCTGGGTGTCGCAGGTGTGGGTGGGAGGGAGGGAGGCCTGGGGGTCGCAGGTGTGGGTGGGTGGGAGGGAGGCCTGGGTGTCGCAGGTGTGGGTGGGGAGGGGGGAGTATGGTGTGGACAGGTGTTGAGAACAGGTTACCACATCCATCATACCACAAACCTTGAGATAATCAGTTTATCATGCATATCGTGTAGGGTGGAGATAGTGAGGTGGGCGCCGTGGTCACAGATGGCGGCTCCCATGTATACACTCCTCCCATGTATACACTCCTCCCATGCAGTCCCTCCACGTGGGATTACCTTAATGAATTTATCCTTCATTTCCTGAGCCCATTATGTAACCTTTTATACTACCGCCTACTTGGTGTGAATGGGGCCCATTGGGTGGGTTTGGGGCCCACTGCTGCCCATTGGATGGGTATGGGGGCCCACTGCTGCCCATTGGATGGGTATGGGGCCCACTGCTGCTCATTGGATGGGTATGGGGGCCCACTGCTGCCCATTGGATGGGTATGGGGCCCACTGCTGCCCACTGGCTGCGTATGGGTCCCACTGGGTGGGTATGGGGTACATAATAAATGAACATATAAAATCAATCAGCACTCTTATCGCGGCGGACGGCACAAGACATCATATATAAACATTAATTCCCGATGATTTTGACAGAAAACCTGTATCTAAGCCCATGGAGGGCCCCCGTAGACCAACTCCGCCCTTCCTTAGGATGCAATAAATGCCTATAATGGAGTTGTTACAGATTTAGCTACTCAAAAGGAAATGTCCATGTAGCACGGGCTATGGTGAGCCCGTAAATGCCTATAAGCCAGGGTGGCTATCATATACACATGCGTGAGGTGTATATGCAGGAGAAGAACGAGAATATTAGATTATGTAGAAAACATTTTGAATATATCTCTTGGTTACATTCGTACATACAGAGGAATACTTAATTCCATAAACAATAACACCCTAAGCGCCCTTCTTGGTTTTGTTAGGCCTAAGCGCTACGCTCACCACCAACTTTAAGTTAGTTAAACTCACCCACATTTTTTAAAGTTAACCGTACGTAATAATTTAAGTTAGCTTAATCAGCTTGTTATAGGTAATTGTTAACAGATGGCCACTCACCACTCGTACTCTGAATTGAAACCCATTTACCCTAACCTTAATCTAATATGAACAAATCTAATCTAATCTAATTAACATAACCTAACCCTCACCTAACCTACCCTACCTAACCTAACCCTCTCCTAACCAGGTTAGGTTAGGTTAGGTTAGGTTAAGTTAGGTTAGGTTATGTTGTAATCCAACCGCAGCGATGACTTAACGGGGGGGGGGGGCAGACGGCTGAGTGGACGCTCGGGGTTCGTAGTCCTAAGGGGTCCGGGTTCGATCCCCGGTGGAGACTGAAACAAATGGGCCAGAGCTTCTTTCACCGTGATGTCTCTGTTCAACTAGCAGTAAATAGGTACCTAGGAGTTAAGACGGCTGCTACGGGCTGCTTCCTGGGTGTGTGTGTGTGTGAAAATTAGGATTGCGGGTGGCAGTTTATGGTATATGCAGTTATGCATATAACTATATGTATACTGTTATACATGTATACATTTATACTGTTACCGTGCATGCAACTGATGCCAGAAGCCTCAGCACTGCCCTCCACGAGACTACCCTAACTATATATGTCACGTAAATGTACTCTACAGGTGTGGAGTAAGCTAGTAAACCACACTGAGTAAACTACGGTGTAAGAGGCGCTGTGAGAACAGTAAAGTATGCTGCGGGAGCCGGTAAACTAAGGTTCTATGGACCCCCGGTAAGCTATGATGTCAGAGTCGCTTCTCGTAAACAGCAGTTGTTGATATACGGAAATAAGCGTCAGGTGTTGGGGCGGGAGGGTGGCTTGGTCTGCCCTCCCCACCACTGTCACTGTCCGCCCAGGTACTGCCCTCACCACCACTGTCACTGTCCGCCCAGGTACTGCCCTCAGTAACACTGTCACTGTCCGCCCAGGTACTGCCCTCACCACCACTGTCACTGTCCGCCCAGGTACTGCCCTCAGTAACACTGTCACTGTCCACCCATGTACTGCCCTCAGTAACACTGTCACTGTCCACCCAGGTACTGCCCTCCCCACCACTGTCACTGTCCTGCCAGGTACTGCCCTCAGTAACACTGTCACTGACCACCCAGACACTTCCCCTCACCAACACTGTACACCCAGACACTTCCCCTCACCAACACTGTACACCCAGACACTTCCCTCACCAACACTGTCACCCAGACACTTCCCCTCACCAACACTGACCAGCCAGACACTTCCCTCACCAACACTGACCACCCAGACACTTCCCTCACCAACACTGTCACCCAGACACTTCCCCTCACCAACACTGACCAGCCAGACACTTCCCTCACCAACACTGACCACCCAGACACTTCCCTCACCAACACTGCCCACCCAGACACTTCCCTCACCAACACTGTCTACTTAGACACTTCCCTCACCAACACTGTCACCCAGACACTTCCCCTCACCAACACTGACCACCCAGACACTTCCCTCACCAACACTGTACACCCAGACACTTCCCTCACCAACACTGTCACCCAGACACTTCCCCTCACCAACACTGACCAGCCAGACACTTCCCTCACCAACACTGACCACCCAGACACTTCCCTCACCAACACTGCCCACCCAGACACTTCCCTCACCAACACTGTCTACCCAGACACTTCCCTCACCAACACTGTACACCCAGACACTTCCCTCACCAACACTGTCACCCAGACACTTCCCTCACCAACACTGTACACTCAGACACTTCCCTCACCAACACTGTCCACCCAGACACTTCCCTCACCAACACTGTCTACCCAGACACTTCCCTCACCAACACTGTCCACCTAGACACTTCCCTCACCAACATTGTCCACCCAGACACTTCCCTCACCAACACTGCCCACCCAGACACTTCCCTCACCAACACTGTCTACTCAGACACTTCCCCTCACCAACACTGACCACCCAGACACTTCCCTCACCAACACTATCCACCCAGACACTTCCCCTCACCAACACTGTACACCCCAGACACTTCCCTCACCAACACTGTCACCCAGACACTTCCCCTCACCAACACTGACCACCCAGACACTTCCCTCACCAACACTATCCACCCAGACACTTCCCCTCACCAACACTGTACACCCCAGACACTTCCCTCACCAACACTGTTCACCCAGACACTTCCCTCACCAACACTGTCACCCAGACACTTCCCTCACCAACACTGTTCACCCAGACACTTCCCTCACCAACACTGTTCACCCAGACACTTCCCCTCACCAACACTGTCCACCCAGACACTTCCCCTCACCAACACTGTACACCCCAGACACTTCCCTCACCAACACTGTCACCCAGACACTTCCCTCACCAACACTGTCCTCCCAGATACTTCCCTCACCAACACTGTACACCCCAGACACTTCCTCACCAACACTGTCACCCAGACACTTCCCTCACCAACACTGTTCACCCAGACACTTCCCCTCACCAACACTGTCCACCCAGACACTTCCCTCACCAACACTGTCACCCAGACACTTCCCCTCACCAACACTGTTCACCCAGACACTTCCCCTCACCAACACTGTCCACCCAGACACTTCCCTCACCAACACTGTACACCAGAGGTGAGGGAGTGAGTGACCAGGAGCACAACAGAGGGCTTGACACTCCCCCAGGGGGGCCAGAGGGAGGACAGGAGGCCTGGGGATCCCTCACAAGTGTGGAGGAAGGTAGCAGTGTGAGGAGCACCTCACACGTACAGGGCGAGAGGAGCACAACACGAACGGCGTGCGTGTGAGCCTGGCAGCCTCCACACGCTGACTAACCTACACCAGGCCGCTCCCTCCCTCCCTCACTCACTCATCATGGGGGTAGGGAGGTGGTGGAGGCGCTTCTCAGAAAGATGAAGGCCGCTACGCGGGGAAGTACGGATGCTCTCAGATGTCTTGTCATAGATTCACTTGCACTGACTAGCAACAACTCCTCCGGCTTTCCGGCTAATGCCCGATTACCGCCGTCACCCCCTTTCCTGCCATATTTTCTTTGGAAATTGTTTATTAAAGTTTCAGTTAACTATACCTGTAAATGGGGTAATTGTTGTTGATTATTTGACATGTTTAATGTACATGCTAACAAACTCTAGTTTATTAAGGTTATAAGTTTCTAAGTTAGGCTAATATTGGTGCTTAGTCCCTGCATGAGGCGACTTAGTCCCAATATACGACTCTTAATAGCTTGGATTCAGGAAACACCTGGGTAAATACTGGTTAAGAAAGAGGACGGTTGATTTATGGAATAAATTTCAAGGAACCCTAACAGACATGGGACCGCTTGATTGTTTCAAACGTAGGTTATACATATGTATGATGGAGCTGGGCTGATATAAACAGGAGATGCATCCTAGGGGCTAATAGGTCTTGAGCCGTCCCCTTCATGGTATAACCTTACACAGCTTTATTTTATTACACCAGTCTTCACGAAGCTGCATTTCCATACATCACTCGGTAAAATGAGCAGAGTTGGTGGTGTTACTGCTGGTCTTGGGCTGGATACGAGTACCTCCGGGAGTTTACATCACCCGTCAATGTAGATGTGATCAAATGTAAACTGTGTCAGCAAAGTTCTATCTGCGCCTGCCAGGTCTGCGCGCCGGGAACCTTTCCCACACCGCTCTGGACACTCGCAGGTGCAGGATACACACATTAACACTGTAACTAGTTCCACACTGTAACCTGTCCCTCGCTGCCCACACGGTGGGCCACAGAATTACGAGTCCTGCGCGCTATCCACCAGGCTACCAGGCCCTATATAGCAGGCGTGTTGTGGTCGTGGTACCTATTGCACCCCCACACCACAACACCCCCACCTCCCACACCACAATATTTAGGCCCAGGCAACCATCCAAACCATTACGGGCTATTCATGCCCGTGCATGAAGCTTAAGCTACCCTTGGATGGCTTAAGCTTCATCAATCTTCACCAATCATCCAAACTTGGCGTCTTAATTGTAAGTGTGTGAATCATCCGTGAGTGATTTAAGCATTGCGGTGGACAACAAGTTACCACACAACCACAGTGACGCACACTGTGGTTGTGCGTCACATGCGTCACAACCACAGTGACGCACACTGTGGTTGTGCGTCACATGCGTCACAACCACACAGAACTATCAGGGCAAAGCGCCAAGCCATTACGACTGTATAGCACTGGGAAGGGATCAGGATATGGATTTGTGATGGGACGGAGGAAAGGAATGGTGCCCAACCACTTGGACGGTCGGGGATTGAACGCTGACCTGCATGAAGCGAGACCGTCACTCTACCGTCCAGCCCAAGTGGTTGGGCACAGGTATAAATACTTCAGTGCTCAATACACCTTAAGCATGTATATAAGAATAAATGAAGATGAATATGTTAGAAGCCAGGTAGAGGTATAACCAAAATATTTGAGTTGGAAGGGAAGAACTAAGGGAAAGACCACAAGAGGTGAACCCAGATGTAATTGGACTCACAGAAACAAAACTCTCAGGAATCATAATATATTACGGTTGGAGTACGAGTCATACTGGCCAGAGTGTGCAGGTGGTGCTGACCAGTTATCGTAACCATACTCCATCAAGTTCAGCATTATGGACTGTCAATGAGCAGCCAGAGTACAATAATGCACAAGGAACTTCAGCATTATAAATCCCAGGCAGAGCGAGGCTGATACGAGGTGTTATAATAATGCTGCCATGCCAAATGAGGCACATGTATATTTTAATACAAAAGGCTGAGCAGACTTTCAGATGCTGCCAGAACTGGGCTCTTGCCACGTTATTTATATATATCTGGGAGGTTCCACCGCCGGCTGAGCTGGATCTCACCAAATGTAAACTCTCATCAAAATGCTTCTCTCACCTTACATCATCATATACTCTAAACTGTAGAATCTATGAATCTAAAAATAATTATTCCATAAATAAATAAATAATTTACCGAAAATTTTAGTAGAACATAACACGTATGATGGGAGGTCTCACCTACCTGTCCATCCAAGGAAAGGTCCAATAAATGGCCACTAGAGTTTAACTCAAGCAAGTGTAAATATGTGAAAATATGTGTAGGGAGCAGGAAGCCAGACACAAAGTAACATTTAGGAAATGCAATGCTTCAAGAATCAGGGAGAGAAAGATCTGAGAGGTTGATATCACTCGGAACCTGTCCCCTGGAGCCCACACCAAAACAATATCATCAGAGCATATGTTATTATATTATATATTAATATAATAACCAATAACCAACCTAGGTTAATTATTAACCTAGGTTGGTCAATATAATTGGCCAACCTAGTTGGTGAAACCTGGATTTAAGGCTGGAGCTGCATATGTGCTGCTAGGGTGTGTGTATGTGTGTGTGTTGTGTGTGAGTGTGTGTGTGTGTACTCACTTTATTGTGCTTGAGGGGGTTGAGCTCTGGCTCTTTGGTCCCGCCTCTCAACTGTCAATCAGGTATTGTACAGGTTCCTGAGCCTACTGGGCTCTATCATATCTATACTTAAAGCTGTGTATGGAGTCAGCCTCCACCACATCACTTCCTAATGCATTCCATTTGTCTACTACTCTGACACTAAAAAAATTCTTTCTAATATCTCTGTGGCTCATTTGGGCATTCAGTTTCCACCTGTGTCCCCTAGTGCGTGTGCCCCTTGTGTTAAATAGTCTGTCTTTATCTACCCTATCAATTCCTCTGAGAATCTTGTATGTGTGTGTGTGTGTGTGTGTGTGCACGCAAGATGGTGTGAACCAGTTGGAGTTGGTGAAGCGGGCTCCAAAAGGCAGCCTTGCAGGAGTCCGTATATGGAGCGACCTGAACACGTCCCGATACACGACTCAGTGTCTTATCTAACGTCTTACTTGTGTTTCAACACAGTCTCGGCCATGGCTGTAACACTCGTATATTAACTGTGTACCAGTAATGTAAACATTAGAGGTAGATGTTAAGCTTTACTACACTGACCCCAGGATGTTTACTGTTGGGATTGAGTACTACAGATGTTGGAGGTAGCATGTTTGGAGCAGATGCTCTTTTGTTTATGATCTTGTTAATAATATTTCATGTACCTGATAATTGTTTTGTTGTTGTTGTTGTTATTGGTTGAGAATAAAACCATGTGGACGAAGATTGTTTCTCTTCAGCCTTCAACCATAACATTTACATTTTGTTTTATTTATGTATACAAGAGTTCTTACATTCTTGTAAAGTCACTAGTACGCATAGCGTCTCGGGCAGGTCATTAACTGCCCGAAACGCTTTGCGTAATAGTGGCTTTAGGCATTGTATGTACTAGCTCTATCTATAAAGCCAACAAACTTTGTAAATCTCTTTATGTATGTACCTTACCTAAATAAAGATTATTATTATTATTATTATTATTAATCCTAATTTTCCCCGGAATACGACCCGCCAAATCGTTTAACAACCAGGTACCCATTCACTGTTGGGTGAACAGAGGCTACAGGTAAGGATTGTTGCCCAGTCAATCCTCTACGGCCAGGATACGAACCCAGGATAAAGTGCTCGCGGAATGCCAAGCTGAGTGTCTTATACCTGGTGACATGGGGTCATATCCCGACACGTCTCGCAGTCACACGACTACACCTTGCAGGACCGGGCTTCAGCTCCTGGGCCCAACATTTCAACTACAGGTCCTGTAATGTTGACTCACGATCTGTTCCTTGACATATCTTATATTCTTACAAGTCTGCATACTTTTTTTTCATTTTGAAGATTTCTTGGATCAACGTCCCAGCGGCCCGAGACCGTTCAAGGCGGCTGCTGGCAGCCTAACGTAGGAGTCACAGCCTGGTTGATCATATATCCTTTGAAGGTATACTATACTATTTACCCTTCGTGTTGGGTGGGGTGTCCAGCGCCCTGGTGAGTCGCCTCTCACACGCTACTGATCCTCGACACCTTCTCTATTTCATCCATATTTTGAGCACTGTATGTGTGGTTACTGTAGGGGTGAGAGTGAGGGGGTGTGGTTACTTTAGGTGTGAGAGTGGGGGGTGTGATTAGTGTGGGGGTGAGAGTGAGGGGGTGTGGTTACTGTGGTGGGTGAGAGTGAGAAGATAAATGAGATGTGAGAGCGATGGTGAAGGAGAGATAATAAGGGTAGCAGGCGTCAGTAATCACAGTATTGGGTCCACCTGATAAATGCTAGTAGCCTTGGCTTTGTAACTAGCTCATCAAGATTGTATAACTAAAGGAACTGTGAGGTTCAGTCCCCGAGCCCATTGTGAGCCTCTGTAAGTCTTTCCACTACCGCCCACAAGATGGGGTATGGGGTGCATAATAAATGACCTGGCAAGGACCGGGCCGAGACACCCGCCGCTCCGGGGCGACTCGTGTACACACACACTGCTTACAGACCACTGTCTGTTAGGCCTATCGTTAGGCCTGGTCGACGACCGGGCCGCGAGGACGCTAAGCCCCGAAAACACCTCAAGGTAACCATGATCAACTATGATCATTCGCGGGTAATCGCAAGGTGTCAGCACCGAAACTCTACGGGAAACACATCCATTATTTCAGTTAGACCATTAAAATCGCCGACGCTACAGATGCCAACATATCTTAAAATGTGGCACTAGGGCTGACCCCGACAGGCCTAAGACACTCTTATACCTCTTTCCCCCCCCCCTTCCCATGATTAATACTGATTGAGACTAGCCACAAACGTCTGGCCTTCAGCCTCGGATAGACACAGAGGTGAAAAACAGACATTCTGTTACATATTGTTATCAATGTCTTTGTGTATTTATTTTAACATTTGTAT